TCCTGCCTGCGAGCCGTCCGGAGTGGTCCCTCCGGTTCTGCGGCCCGCCATCCCTAATGGACTCCCTCGAGGGAATAAACACTAGTGTGCTGGTATGTCCGTACATGGGAGGAGAAGATATGCTTTAACTCTCTCTGACTAGGCACCCGCGGGAGCGAGGAAAGGAAGGGAAGAAGTGGCCCTCCCGAATTCGGGGAAGGGGACCCACACATAGTAGCCTTTTTCAGGCATCCGCATGCTCCTGTCTACGTACCCCCCCGTGCTGCCAGCAGATCTACCATGCTCCTATCCAGACACACGAACACCTCAGTCAACCTGTTTCACTGCTGTAGCACAAGAGCTAAAACGGCGTTGCTGAAGAGGGGGGTTGCCTCAAGTTGGTTGTCTCCTTCAAGATCCTTCCGACAAAGTACGACAGAGTTTGCTCATCCCTAGATTCTAGCTCCACGCAAGCTCCGCCCCTACATAGTCGACTCAAAGGTGGGCCACAACAATATGTCGTACACCAGGAGCGTGTTTCGAATCTACAGCAGTACATCGCCGTAAACGAACGCTTCTATACTGCTGGTGCTGTGACCACGCCAATACAGACCCAACACGACTGACCCTTGTGCTGCTTTCACGTGTTCGTTCACAAAAAGATTTGCACCGGTTCGCTCAAGGTATCACATCAGTGCATAGATAACGCACATACCTGCACAGCAGCAGTAGATTCGCCAGGCACGTGTGCATAGAATAGTCCGTCATTTGTGCCATAGGACACGAAGCTCAGCTCCTCCGCAACGCCAAACAGCACGGTGAGATCGAAGGATGAAGCTCTCAGCAATATCCGCCCCCAGTCGGCGAAAGGGAACGAATCTGCGACAGCGCGCCAACGCCGTTGAATGTTCCTGCACATGATGCGATGCAACAGCAGCCAGCGTGTTCGATGAGAAACAATAAATAACGAATACAAATACAGGAGCGTAAAAGAACAAATAGACACAAAACAACTGATGGACCAATGCTGATGCCAAGTATTTCAAAGGTCGAGCCTCGGCAGAAGAGGCTGCCATTTGTAGCCAGTGTGACAACGGGAAGCGGATGTTCAAAAAGATACCCGCACGGATGCTGCACATGTACGGCACAACCGAAGCAGGTGTGTCAGTTCCCCACAGCAGTAGACAGGAAAAGAGCACAAAGTATAGCAGTAGTATAAAAGCAGAGGGCCGGGAAACCCAAGCAGAAACGGGTTACTGGAGACAAACAGGGCATGTCTGTCTCCCTCCCTCTCTGCCCACTTGCCTGGTTGTCATCCTTGTGCTCCAGGCTAGACTATGTGCCAGCTGCTCCATATCCGGGGCCATTTTATTTATACGTTCCAAAGTTTTGTTCAAAATTACAATTTTCCCGAAATTGCGGAAGGAACCTGTACAGAGGCGTTTGTCCAAATACATTGAAAAAAATTGGAACGAACCTGGGCGCCAAAATTTGTACTCAGTAGCTTCCAATTTTTCCAAATTTATTGAGCATCACAACAAACCCAGCAACTAAAAAAGGACCTACAGGGCCAACTACAAGGGAGAAGCAGCAGCGGAGGGTACTTGGATAGCGGCAGGGCCATGGCGGACCGCAGGAAACTAGGCGCGCCTCTTCGTTCGTCATGTGCTGGCCCACCGGGCCAACGATTCAGGCGTTCATCCGGTCGCCAAGAGCTGGTGCGGCAGATGAAAGCAGCTGCTGCTGCATGCTGTGGTGGTTCTCGTGCTGAGCGCGACGGCAGTGGTCACCTCTGCAGCTGTGCACGCTAGCGCTAACAAGACGCGTGCGGCTATCCACGAGCCACGGCGCCTGGTGTGGGAGGATCACGATGCTGACCTAAAGAAGCGGAAGCTTCCGGAGGATGTATCGCATGGAGGAACCGGTGTTCAACAAACTGGCTGGGTTGCTGGAACGGATCCTCCAACGGAACGACTACGACGCAAGTGAGAATAGAGAGAGTGTGGGAGGGAGAGATGGGGGGGCGGGGGGGCAGGGAGAGAGAGAGAGTGTGTGATTGGCGTACGAGGCGCAGAACTCATGCGGTGGTGTTTTTCCCGTCCTTCCTTTTGTTGCTGATGCTGAAGTGTAGCATTGCAGAAGACCACGGTTGGTGTATTGGTTAAAAGTGGAGACTACTGCTGTAGGAACAAGGCGAATCATCCCGCAGCACCACCAGAACGGTGACCTCCGGTGTCTGACTAGGGTTAGGGCAACAGTTTCACCGCCCAGCACTTGCTATTTTCGTCTGCTGATACGTTCACGCTATGCTTATTTTGTGCTTCACGCGAAACAGGAAAACGGTATCGACGCGGTGCTGTTCCCACGAAGATCCGACTAGCTATCGGCTTGCGGATGATGGGCGGTGCTTCGTATCCCGATGTCGCTGTGCTGTTCGGCGTGTCCAAGGAGACGGTCTTCAGCATCTTGTGGCAGGTGGTGGATGCCATCAACAGCACAGCAGAGGTTGGGCCGTTCTTTTTTCCGCAGAGCGAGGATGAGTGCACCCGGCAGGCGGCAGAATGGGAGGTGCGGAAATGATACACTAGTTTACAGCAGCAGGGTAGATTGCATGTTTGCATTCCAGGTAGGTGACTATGATGTTGTGAACGAACACATGATCTTGTTTGGTGGCGGTTTAGTTTCAACATTACTTCGAATATAAATTACAGTATGCGAACAGACGTACGTGCGAACATGGCCAAAAACAGGCAAGGCGGCGAAAATGGACAGACAGGTGTTGTGCTGTGGTATGCCTACCGGGNGCTGCAGGCCTCCTAACGTGTATGGTACATAAGCAAGGCACCACGCTGCAGAGTCTGGCCCAAAACAAATGACGCGGATTGCATGGATGCATGCATGTCGGTCCTCCGCTCGGCAGAATATCCTGCTTGTCTAGACGCACCGAATAAGGAGCGAGCGGGAAGCACTTGTGACAGCACGGGGAACCCTCTATATCTTGTGTCCACGTATTGGCTTGATGCATGGTGAAATGATCTCCAGTCTGCAGGGAACATTGGCACGAACAGTCGCACTGTATTGATTGGCATGTCTAGGAGAGGGCTCGTCTTTAATTGCTCGCA